TTGTTTTTAAGTCTTAAAAATAAAAGGTATTTCTTTCCTTTTGGATTTTGGTTATCTTGATTATTAAAACCTACATCTGTAGTGTTTCTGTTTTTTGAGGATTTGGGTGTTTTCAGAATACAGACTATATAAAGTTAGTCTTACTCTCAGGAAAAATAGTAGACTGATGTTTTTGCCTTGAGGCATTTAGAGAAAACGTTGCAGCCCCTCACCTCAAAAAGCGTCTCACTGTCCTGTAGCATTGCCCCACAACTGGGAAATCACACAATGTGCTACATCAGTGTGCTGTGGATTCAGAGAAAGGAAATCTGATGGAAAAGCCTACAAAAAGAGGAGTCTTGAACTCAAAAAAGTCTACATAGTGGTATATCACAGCAGAAGCAAGAAAAGCTGACGAGGTCTGGGAAGACAGAACTTTATACAAGGGAGTGTCTGCGTGTGTATGTGTGGTTGCATATATACAGTGTCCCCAAAAAATGTATACACACACTTGGGATAATTATAAAGGCAGTGTTTATTAAAAATATATTTCATTTTCAAAATAGAACTGTCAGCTATTAAAGTGTGTATCATTTTAGGGGGACACCCTGTGTGTGTGATGTGTGAAAACTTGAGAAATCCTTCTACTTGTGTCTTTTCCAGCTTTCCATTTTCATGTCTGCTCAGCAGCTAAATGCATGGACTAGATAACCTCAATTAAACTTAACTGAATTAAATTCTATTTTTAGGGTAACAGCGCTGCCCACATACATACACTGTGCCTCTAGTACTATTCATCCATCTTGTTGCTAACAAGAAAGCTGCATGTCCCGCTAGCTTGCCCTGTAGCCTAGGAGTGCGAGGAGCCATGAGTAACCCTTCACCTGCAGGCCCAGGTTGGGAGTGGTCCCATCCCTAGGATAAGACTGGCTCTCATTCCCACTGAACTGACCATCCTTACTTCCCATCTATTTTTCTGCCCTCTATGCTTGCTTCCTCAACTCTGTATATTACCTGCTAGGCAGTATAATAAGTTTCTAAAGGGCAAGCATCAAATCACCGTTTCAGGAGTCTATTTCAGATGAGGGTAGTAAGTAGATTGGAGGGATTAAATAGACTTCCCAGGGAGGTCTACCCATACACACACACAGAAAAAAAAAGATCATGAGCTCCCCTCCTCCCATGTATACATACAAAGTCAGATATGTTCAAACACAGGTGTACTTAACCCTGACATAGATTTAATGAGTCCAAATGTAAAACAGTACATTTTGGCTAAAATAAAGTTCATTTTTCATTCTAGATTGAAATTCTTGCCCTAGCTGGTTTGGCTCAGTGGCTAGAGCATCGGCCTGCTGACTGAAGCGTCCAGGTTTGATTCTAGTCAAGGGCACATGCCCGGGTTGCAGGCTCAGTTCCCAGTAGGGGGCGTATAGGAGGCAGCTGATCAGTGATTCTCTCTCATCAGAAATGTTTCTCTCTCCCTCTCCTTTCATCTCTGAAATCAATAAAAATGTACTAAAAAAAACCCATCTAAGTGCACAGCATTTAAAAATAGAAAAGAAATGAAAAAAAATCCTTGCAAAGGTCATTTTATTTTCTGCCTATTAGATGAACAATTAAGCAGAATATTATATACTAGAGGCCCAAAGCACAAAATTCGTGCACTCCCGGGGTGGGGGTCCCTCAATTCAGGCTGCACCCTCTCACAGTCTGGGAGCCCCCCTGGAGGTGGGAGAGGCTCCCACCACCACCGCTGTACTCGCCAGCTGTGAGCCCAGCTTCTGGCTGAGCGGCGCTCCCCCTGTGGGAACACACTGACCACCAGGGGCAGCTCCTGCATTGAGCATCTGCCCCCTGGTGGTCAGTACACGTCATAGCGACCGGTCATTCTGCCATTTGGTCGATTTGCATATTAGCCCTTTATTATATAGGATAGCTAGTATTTATCAAGCGTAGTGTCTAACATGTACAGTGACCAATGACAGTATTTGGAGAATTGGACAATTTAAAATCTTGAAGATTTCTGGAGAAATTATAGCCCAAATTGCAAGTAAATAGAAGCATGTGCCTTGTCCTGTGTCACACATGTATTACTTTCCTCATGGGCTTATAATTTCAAGAGAGCAGTTTTATTTTAATTGTTAAATCTGAAGCCTAACAAAGTCCTGTGTGACAGGTACCTATGAGCACCCATTAATTCCCTACTCAAATCCCTGAGTAGTATTAGAAAGTTAGAACTATTCAGTTATCTTACTCTGGAATTCATTCTTTGGAACCTCATATCCTAATGTCTAAATCTTTAAGCTCATCTAGCTAAAAGAAAAGGTATTTTGTTTGTTTTAATCCCAGCTTCTACATGGGCAGTTATTTTTAATTTGAAGAGTAGCAGGTCTTGGAGATCATTAAAAGGATATATGACCAGTTTTCTCACCCTAAATTCAATAAGGAAGAGCATGGAAACAGTGTTCTTGAGGACATCTTTAGAAACTATGGAAAGGTTGCCATCTTGCTTTCTAATAAATATAAGTTGGATGTAAGAGTGGGAAGACTTGAGATTCACTGAGCTAACAATTTATCTTAGTAATGAAATTGTATTTCTCTGCTAATGAGCTTGGTGAGATAGTAATTATGAGTAGATCTGCAGAATATGTAAGAGAACCATTAGTTTACTTTTGAGGGATTCGCTCCCTGTAGCATATAGTCGTTTTCTCTCTTTTTATTTTTCATTCTGTGGTATGTAGTTTCCCTAAGGAAAAAAAAAATTTAATATTTTCCCCCATTTTTCAATGTCCATTGAGGAACACTGAAGTTTTGGGAAAGTGTTATGTTTATCATGTAGTTTTGTGTGCTTACCAGTACACATACCACACATAACCCAGGAGGACACATAGATCCTAATTTGAGAATAAAAATTAGATTAAGGTTCTGTTTTTCTGGTCACCTAAAAAGCAGAATGTTTATCAACACTAGAAGTCAAGGTTTTCTCTAGCAGGGACTCTTGCTTTTGCTAAGAAACCTTAATAAAACATTTCCTATGATACTTTGCTCTAATCCGATGAATGCTTGAGACACGGGATACTAGCATCATAGATATCACTTGATATATTTTCCCAAAGGGAACTAAACATTAGTAATCACACACGCTGCTTTACTTGGTGAGGTTGGGAATTGCTTGGCTTTCTGTCTGACCCTAATTATTTCCAGCCATTTTCAGAAAACAGCAGGAACACTATAACTTCCTTGCTCAGAAAGGGAGGATCATAGGTGCCGTACCTATGGGTTCATTCCCCCAGAAAAAGGGCACAGGTGTCCTTGGATGTCACCAAACATAGTGAGGAAAGAGTGTGCTATGAACAGCCCTCATTGTGAAGTCCTGATAGGTGCCAATTTCTAATCATTGGAAAGAAAAAAGTGAATTTCCAAGACTACTCAGAACAGATTACAATAGTGCCCCTTGTTTGTGGTTTCACTTTCTGTCATTTCAGTTATCTGCAGTCAACCCTGGTCTGAAAATATTAAATGGAAAATTGCAGAAATAAACAATTCATTAGTCATGGCTAGATGATCCTCCTTTTGATGTATAGTCAGAAAGTCAGTAGTAGCCTAATGCTACGTCACAATGCCTATGTCGTTCACCTCACTCCATCTCCTCACATAAATTTTGTATCTTCTCACATCATCACAAGAAGAGTTAGTACAGTACAATAAGATATTTTGAGCCCTGGCCGGGTTTTCTTAGTGGTTAGAGCATTGGCCCTCAGACTGATGGGTCCCGGATTCGATTCTGGTCAAGGGCACATACCTCAGTTGCAGGTTGTAGGTTCAATCCTTGGCCCTGGTTGGGGCGAGAGCAGGAGGCAACCAATCAATGTGTCTCTCTCACATCAATGTTTCTCCCCACCCTCCCCCCTTTCACTCTTGCCGCCACCTTCTTCCTCCCTCCCTTCCACTCTATGTAAAAATCAATGAGAAAAATATCCTTGGATGAGGATAAATTTTTTTTTAAGATATTTTGAGAAGATTCCACTTTCAGTTAGATATTATAATTCTATTTTATTGTTAGTTATTGTTAATCCCTTACTGTGCCTAATTTATCAGTTAAACTTTACCATATGTATGCATAGGAAAAAACATAGTGTATATAGGATTTAGTACTATCCACAGTTTCAGGCATTCACTGGGGCTCTTGGAACAAATCCATCATGGATAATGGAGAACTACCGTACTCAAGTATTTCATAGTAAATGTCATGGCTTTAAGCGTCTGGCTGACTACACTGGCTCAATTCAATGTTTATAGAAAATATCTCACAGAAGTCTCCAAAATACCTTCTAGCTTTAGACATCGGTAGGATAATGGCAGTTTAAACTTCATATTAACCATTGATTCTTTTTTCTTTTTTTAAATCCTTGCCTGAGGATATGTTTTCTATTGATTTGAGAGAGAGAGAGAGAGAGAGAGAGAGAGAGAGAGAGAGAGAGAGAATATTGCAGCAGTTGGTTGCCTTCTGTACACACCCAACTGGGGATTGAACCCATCACCCTTCAGTGTACAGGAAGATGCTTCAACCAACCGAGCCACTCTGGCCAGGGCAACCACTGATTCTTTATAACTCTATACATCTGGCAGGGAAAGGATGAGGATATTTACACTCGAGGAAAAGTTGTTGTTGTTGTTTTTTTTAAATAACAAACTACTTTGCTTACTTTAGAATTTTCCTGTATTATTATCCTCAGTAACAGAAAGAATGGAAGACTGGGTCATGACGATACATCCAGGTGCATTAAAGTTTATTTTAGAGCCAGAAAAGACCCAAAGCAGCCACTGTCTTCTTCTTGCCCTCTGCCAACATTCTGGAAAAAAATCACACCATTAGATAATAGTCTCAAGCCAAACATTTTTATATGTATTCTAGTAAATTAACACATTCTTGTGTTTTGTATTTTCTCAACTATGTCTTGATCTTTTTCCATTATACTTTTCTGTTACTGAAAGCTTCCTGTCCTTTCCTGTTACAGGATTATAGCTGGACGGACATCCGCTGCCCCTTTGAAAAACGAAGAGATGCAGCATGCGTGTTTTGGGACAATGTTGTATACATTTTGGGTGGCTCTCAGCTCTTCCCCATAAAACGAATGGACTGCTATAATGTGGTGAAGGATAGCTGGTATTCCAAACTGGGCCCCCCAACACCTAGAGACAGCCTCGCTGCCTGTGCCGCAGAGGGCAAAATTTATACATCTGGAGGTTCTGAAGTCGGTAAGGACTTTCTCAGTGTTTTTGTTTGGGGCATGTGTTTTAAAGCCGAGTACCTTGGCTTTCATATTTAAATAAACAGTTGATGCTATTTATCCAGATATTTTTTGACATAATTTAAATGGATATGTTACATTTTAGAGCCCATTTCCCTGAAGGCTTACCTTATTTATGAATCAGTACTTTAAAAGAGCTTCAACTTCCTAGATTATGTCCATTTTTTAAAAAAATATGTCCAGTTTTTAAAAAATGTGTTGTTATTAATTTTTAGAGAGAGAGGGAGGGAGAGGGATAGAGAAATAGAAACATCGATGAGAGAGGAACATCATGGATTGGCTGCCTCCTGCACACCCCCTCCTGGAGAACAAGCCCACAACCCAGGCAAGTGCCCTGATGGGGAATCAAACTGGAGGACCTTTTGGTTCCTGAGTCAATGCTCAACCACTGAAACGTATAACAGTACCTTGATAATATACTCAAGAATGGACCAGCATGACTTCTCAGGGCTTACCATACAACCACCGAGAGAAGTCAGGAAGAGTAGTATTGTTAGTGATGCCGTGGCTGTCATAGAATATTATATGGTAAGCCTCAGAATATTATCAGATAGTAGTTTTCATATTTTAAGGCATGGGTTTATCATCTGTAAATAGGTATGCTTTTTCCCCTCTATATAAACATTTCAAGTTTGGATAATTCCCATCATGCACCACTGGGCTGGAGGACATCCATAAAGTTCCTTATTTAATTTTCTTTTGAAATCAAACCAAATCTTTTCCTAAAATGCAATTACAATATGTAAGTCTCTCCACAGATCCTTCTGTGAATATATTCCAAGGTCTGTACTAACTATTCCTACATTGTGTTGCTGTTGTTGAGTCTAGAAAAGACTCTGTAAATTCTTTCTTCCAGTAACTGACTCCCTCTACAGTCAGCTTGCTCCAAGCCTGTACACACACTCCATCAAGCATGATGGGCCTTCTTCTTTTCCAGGAAACTCAGCTCTGTATTTATTTGAGTGTTATGACACGAGAACTGAGAGCTGGCACACAAAGCCCAGCATGCTGACCCAGCGCTGCAGCCACGGGATGGTGGAGGCCAATGGCCTAATCTATGTTTGCGGTGGAAGTTTAGGGAACAATGTTTCTGGCCGAGTGTTGAATTCCTGTGAAGTTTATGATCCTGCCACAGAAACGTACGTATGGATTTAAAATTCTATTTCACAGTATTGTATCCTGTAAGCTCAGTGTAAGATGTGTCAAAAAGAGCCCAACGGGAGAATTTAGCTCTAATAGTAAGAATGTACACACAGTTTTAAATGTTTACAGCCTGGATCCTTTCTCTGCACCTTAAGAAACGGCTTCAGTTTATACCCTGTGGCAGCCCCTCTCTTTCTCTTCCTCCTTGTAGGCAATGAATGTCTATGAATGATGAGACAAGTCTGACTGCTTGATCAAACTCATGAAATAACTTCTTTTAGAGGTCAGGAAATGTAGGGGAGGAGGGGGGAAATTAGGATCAGTAGTAAATTTGCCTTTAATTAAGAAATATTATATGTTTAATTAGAAATAGTAATAAATCATAACCCTAGGTATAATGCCTTTTGTGAGTTTTGTGCTTAGGAAAGTATGTTTAGATTCATTTTTATTAAACAAAATTATTCTTAAATCAACTGGTTTTTGAAAAGCAAAATGCTAAAGAAATAAATGATTAGCCAGTTTTTCTGATCTTGTAATTAATGATGAAACTCATTGAATGTCGCCAGAGGAAATATGCTAATTATTTAATAGGAAGGGCAGTGATAAGGACAATGACATGGAACTAGTGAGGACATGAACACAGATGATGTCCTAGTGATACTCAAAAATATCCCAAGAACTTCAATGAGAAAATTCACATGCTTTCTGAAAGGATTATTCTTCCTTTACCCAGAACAAGATATTGGGTAACTATGTTCAACTGAAATGTCATGCCAAAGAACGGCACCAACTCTCTTGTGCTCAAGTTTTATATTTAGGAAATATTGCCACACTTCAAAACATAGAAGTCTTCCACTCCAGCTGCTGCTTTTTTTTTTTATTATTAAGAGTAACAATTTAATTATAAAATATGACCAGTCATGTGCATTTATTTATTTATGCTTCCCACCTGCTTTTAAGGGTTTAAAGAAGCATAATCAGTAACTCCTTTACCAAACAAAAATGCAGTTAACAATAGTTTATTTACTCATATTTTGCTCATCTGGTTACCAGTGTTAGAAATAGAATTGAGTGCAATGTATCTTGAAATTTTCTTTTTCCCAGTGTTGAGACTAGGCAATCTCTTGAAATCATCCAGATTTATTACTCCTTTCAAAATGTGCCTTTGTACTTACCTTTGTACTTGCCAGAGCACACTGGCTTATCCTCATCTTATCATCCACCAATTCAACTATCTATCTACCCTTTTTTGCCCCACCCACAGGAGTGTATATCAGCTGTCCTCCCTCCTAGATCAGTCTCCCATAAGCCCTGTGCTCAAAAAGTGTTGCAGCATACTAATTGGAAAACTAGTCTCATTCATCCTGCCGCCTAATTCTTTTTTCATCTCTAAAAAATCTCTTAAAGTAGGACCCATACCATGTAAACTCCGGGCTTTTAAATTGTTCAGGCAGTATCAATGTAAATCAATGTAAATAAGAACAATATATTCTTGTTCATATTAGCAGAGTAAACATTAAAGGAATTCTGTAACCTCAATTTTTTAAAAAAACTAGGTGATTATATTCAGTTTAGGGAATATTTTAAAACTTACACAACTTAGCATTTTTTGTATGTTTTTTGTATGTTAAATTTTTCATATCCTCTTCAATGCCCTTAAATTTTCTTAAGTGAAAAAAGAGTATGACTATAATTATCCAACTCTCAAAATGAAAAATAAGTTATATATTACTAAGATTTTCTTTCTACTGTGATCGGTCCATCCATGTTTTTTACAAAATTTTCTTTCTTCCCAGTTTTGACAATTTTCTTAAGTATTTTGTAACTAGACTGTGTTTAATTGGAAGGTCTGGAATAAAACCTCTGCAGTCAGAATTTTAAGAAATTAAAATTGTGAAACTTCCATATTGTAAACCTTCAGGAAACTTATCCTATATAATAAAATCCTAATATGCAAATTGACCAAACAGTGGAACGACTGGTCGCTATGATGCGCACTGACCACCAAGGGGCAAACGTCTGCCCTCCTAGAGGGAGACAACCAACAGGCAGCAGTGGCGGCGGCGATCGGGGGGCGGGGCCGGCCAGCGAGTGCCCCACCAGTCGCCTCCCGCAGACCCACAAACCCACAACTGGCAGTCAGACATTCCCTGAGGTTGCAGGCCAGGCTGAGGGACCCCCCTTTCCCCCCCACCCCGCCCCCCCCGACACACACACCCTTGCACAAATTTTGTGCACCAGGCCTCTAGTATATACATAAAAACATGCCCTTTATACCATGGACATATTTGAAGAAGAGAGGGCTTTGTATATATTGAATTTTTCCAAATCAAATATTGTGTTGATTGTACTTGGATAGCTTACTCTATAAAGCTCACTGCATGGAGAGGCAGTGAGGCCTGGTGCTGGCTCTCCAACTTCCAAGCTGTGTGCTGGTCTTTTCACCTGGACAGGCATGTGTGTTTATCCTGAAAAGCAGGAGCAGCGTTGCCAACCTCACTTTACAGAGTACTCTGAAAATGAGAGTGGTGACTGCCAAACCACTTTTTAAAAATAAATATAAGGCAACAAATAAGTTACTACTATTTCATAGTTAATCATTATGCCTTAATTATGTTTTTAAAAGTTATATTTATTACATTGTTTAAAAGAAGAAATAGAAATAACCATACTAGAGGGTTAACGCTTATGCCAATTTTTTTCTTTTGTTGTTGAATGGAGCATTTTGGTTATTAGCTATTATGCACACAACCCCTGTGTGCCAGTACCATCTTCACAAACACAAATGTCAATTGTGTATATGAGAGTATATACAAAAGAAAGGATTGAATCTCAGAAAAAAACAGCTAACCACATTGTCTATGATGTGTATGAATATAATGCTGTTACCTGTGAATTAGTGTCCTTCAACACTTGTATCCACATTTATATCTCAGTCTCAGTATTTGTTGTAGTGGCTGTGAACACAGCAACATACTAATAAGTTATTAAACTTAACAGAATGATAGCACTTTTGTTACTAGGGCTGGCTAAAGTCCTAAGTGTAAATTTGAAGATGAACATGTGAATAGTAATAGATACTACTAATTTGCTGGTGCTAGAGGCCTGTAATAAATTTGTTTTACTTATTCATATATAAATATTAATTAACACCATATGTGACAGTGTTTGTGCTTCATAGTCTCTTATGTACCTTTCCCTTGTTTTTTGTTATCATTTTACAAGTTATTGTGAACTACAGGAAATGGATTTCTTCCAAAGACATGTTAATAATCTCAAATATGTCCTATATGTCATATCCTATCAGAGTTGAAGGGAATAAAATCTGTATTTACCCACCTATAAATAAATTACTCAAAACCACTGTAAAGCTTTTGTTTTCTAGCCTTCCGGGTTTGTGTGTGTATGTATATGTGCACCGTGCACACACACACACACACACACACGTGATTGATAAGTGAGCACTTAGTTGGGATAACAGATCTTTCTTATAAATTAATATTGTGTGTGAACAGTACTCTAAAAACCTTCTTTTATTTTTTCAGATGGACTGAGCTGTGTCCAATGATTGAGGCCAGGAAGAATCATGGACTGGTGTTTGTGAAAGATAAGATATTTGCTGTGGGCGGTCAGAATGGCTTAGGTGTGTGGTGGTGTTAATTCACTGTTCAACTTTCCCAATAAGTTTGATGATACTTCCTTATCTTAAATTATGGAAACATTTCTTAAAATCTAAATATAAGGGTTTATCCAGTACATCATTATGCTTATTTTTATGGCTTATCGTTTACTAGAAGCCCGTTGCACAAAGATTCGCACAATAGGCCTTCCTTCCCCTGGCTGCTGGCACCAGTTTTCCTCCAGCACCCGGGACCCAGTCTTCACTCCACACCTTTGTATGCAAATTAACTGCCATCTTTGTTGGGTTAATTTGCATAGTCGCTCTAATTGGTTGGTGGGTGTGGCGGAGTGATACCAATTTGCATGTTTCTCTTTTATTAGTGTAGATAGAAACATTGGAGTACATTTAACATCCTTTTCCTGCCCTGCTGGTCTGGCTCAGTGGATAGAGCATCGGCCTTGCGGACTGAAGGGTCCCAGGTTCTATTCTGGTCAAGGGCACATGCCCGGGTTGCTGCAGGAGGCAGCCAATTAGTGATTCTTCCTCATCATGGATGTTTCTCTCTCTCTCCTTCTGCCTTCCTCTCTGAAATCAATAAAAATATATTTTAAAAAAAACAAAAACAAAAAAACATCCTTTTCCATGAAATGTGGGTAATGGCCATCAGTCATTGTAACAGTCCCAGACAGCTTCTACACATTTCTAAATGTTCTCTGGGGTTTGGTATCACTAGTTTTAAGAACTATCGAATAATAGAAATATGTGAACTTTTAAAAAACTTTTAAAGTACAGGTTTTAGGACTTGTATCCAGGCTCTGAATGGCAAACTTTCCTAACATTTTTAAACATTGCATGAAAATATTAGTATCACTATTTTATTAAATGAGTAAATTTGACCTTATTTTTTAAGATTTTTAATTGATTTTTAGAGATAGAGGAAGGGAGAGGGGGAGAGAGAGTGACACATCAATTGGTGGCTGCCTCCTATACCCCCCCTTGAGCCCCCAACCCAGGCTTGTGCCCTGACTGGGAATCGAACTGGCAACCTTTTTTTTTTTTTTTTTTTTTTTTTTTAAATAATATACTTTTATTGATTTCAGAGAGTAAGAGAGATGGAAAGAGAGATAGAAACATCAATGATGAGAATCATTGATTGGCTGCCTCCTGCACTCCCCCTACTGGGGATCGAGCCACAACCTAGGCATGTGTCCTTGATCAGAATCGAACCAGGGGCCCTTCAGTCCCCAGGCCAACACTGTATCCACTGAGCCAAACTGACTAGGGCTAGCAACCTTTTTGGTTGGACAGTGCCCAGCCAACTGAGCCGTACTGGCCAGAGCTTTATTTTCTTAAATAATGTACTAAAATCTTAAATAATTGCTTTAAATAATGGAGACTCTGGACTGAATCTATAGATTACTCCACAAACCTCATTTTAGTCAGCACCTTTAAGCATTACTTAAATGTAACAATAAAATAACTTCTTTCCCTTCTCCTATCTCTGTTCATTGCTATTTTCCATAAACTGCTGAAAGATAAATAGTACAAGGACAAAGTGGGACATTTGAATAATTCAATTTAAAGCTAATCAACAGGAAAATCCACAGATTGGTTTACTTTTTTATTTTAATTTTGAATAATTAAATATTTATGATTCTAAAATGACAAAAATTAAACGTCTGTTGTGTTAAGGTAAGAATAGATGTGTGGGCATTATAAGATTCTGACACCTTTTCTGCATGCTTGAACATTATCATAATAAAATGTTAGAAAAATGAAAAGAATTATTACTTTAAGAGATCTTAGAATTGTTCATGTAGTCCGTGTTGTTTTATTCTTTTAAAGGTGGCCTGGACAATGTGGAGTATTATGATATTAAGCTAAATGAATGGAAGATGGTCTCACCGATGCCATGGAAGGGTGTAACAGTGAAGTGTGCAGCAGTTGGCTCTATAGTTTATGTCTTGGCTGGTTTTCAGGGTGTGGGTCGATTGGGACACATCCTTGAATATAATACTGAAACAGATAAATGGTTTGCCAACTCCAAAGTTCGAGCTTTTCCAGTAACAAGTTGTTTAATTTGTGTTGTTGATACTTGTGGAGCAAATGAAGAAACCCTTGAAACATGAAAAATGAGTGGACTTCAAGACTTATTGGAGACTCAAAAATATGGCCACCAATACTTTGTTCCAAGAGTTGGTTACAAAGTTTTAGTTTGGTGGGTTTTGGGTTGATTTTTTGTTTTTGTTTTTGTTTTTTTGTTTTGTGTGTGTGTGTGTTTTTAAGGAAATTTCAAGTAAAGAAAGATCCCTATAAAAATCATATTTCCTTAATTCAAAGACCACATTTTAGCTGTCCACGTAATCATGAACATATTTAGCAAGAAAACTTGAAAAACACTAAGCATTTGGTGAAAATATGAATTTTTCTTAAATGAATTTCGCATTTGTAACTATGATTATGACAGAGTGGGAGATTGGCTCATCAGTGAACAGTCTCATCTTAGCTCTAGATTCTATTTTCATACATCACAGAAGTGCTATGTATTAGGCTGTTTGTTTCAGTTTAGTCAAGAACTAAAAAATAGTATGGAGCAGCTTAGTCTCCCATAGATTTGCTTGTCTTTATTTGTTCCATTTAGTGCCAAATGTGTTCCATTTTTAAAAGCAAGGCAGAGTGAGTCGAGGCATGCGCATACTCTCTCACAAACTTCATAATCACATTTTGGGACTTAAAAATGTACCAAACTCCTGATGAAATATATTCAATCCAATTAAATATATTCCATCTTTTAAACAGAAATGTCAAGCTTAGCACCCATTATTAATTTGTCATTGTTTTACCCAGGGCTTAAAAAATGATTATGTCTCTTCAGTCCTCACTTCAAATAAAATCCAATTATAATAAAATGATTGACTAGCCAGAAATAAAGCTATTTATAGTAAATTTATAGGTCACTAGAATAGCACTGATAATTATACAATATCAGTGTTGATTTTGAACTTCTAATGGATTAAAAGGTACATGATTTCTTTTCCTTAGCAAGATACATCAGAGATATTTGATCCCATTGTATCAAAAAGTTTTGTAATAATTTGAATTGCATATTTGTCATCTCTTACTGCTTTTGTGAAGTCAACAAGTCTTTCACAAACCCATGTACTCATTTCTTTCTACTAATGTTTTGCCTGTTTACATTATGAAATGTATGGAATGAGCTATATAAAGCTGTCACCATCAATGTTTTTATCTGGTAATATTAAATATTTTTTAATAAAACAGACTGCTAAGTTCTATTCATTCTTTATTTTAGATGTGTTAATGATTTTTTTTTTTAATTTGTGAAGCAGTGTTCCTATTTTAATTTTGTTTTCTCTATATGGGAGTTGTATAATCTTAAACACTAAAAAATGTTTAAATGAAAACAACTGTAAAAAGCATTATGATATGTTTGTTTATATATGGTTTTTTATGTACATAATAGCTTTATTAAGATATAATGTACATATCAAACAATTCACCATTTAAAGTGTACCATTCAATGGTCTTTAATATATTCGCAGAGTTGTGCAGCTGTCACCACAATTTTGGAACATTTTCTTCACCACAAAAAGAAACCCCATACTCATCAGCGGTCACTCACCATTTTTCCCCTTGTCTCATTTCACTGTGGCTCCTGCAACAAATTACTACAAACTTGGTGGCTTAAAACAACAGAAATGTATTCTTCCTTAGTTCAGCGGGCCAGAAGCCCTACATCAAGGGTCAGGGTGCCTCCTTCTGGAGGCCCTGAGGCAGAAACTACCCAAGCCTCTCCCTACCTCTGGTAGCTGCTGGCAGTCCTTGCTGTTCCTTGGCTTGTAGCTGCCTCATTTGTTCACTGCCTCTGTCTTTACATGGCCTTTTCCCTATGTCTGTCTGAGACTATATGGTGTTATAAGGTCAGCAGTCATTGGGTTTAGCCCACCCTACCCCCATCTACTATGACCTCATCTCAGCTGATGACATTTGCAAAGACCCTATTTCCAAATAGGTCACATTCTAAAGTTCTGGGTGCGCATGAATTTGGGGGAGATATTATTCAACCCAGTTATATCCCTCAAACATCCAGTCCTAGGCAACCATTAATGTTTCTCTAGATTTGCCTATTCTGAACATTATTTCATGTTGGGTTTTGAAGTTTTCACTCCATGGGGCGGGGGGGGGGGGGGGGGGAATGTGTCGTGAGAAAACAGATAAATCAGCATTGAGGAACTTCTACAAAACAACAAGCTATGGTCTTCAATAGTGCCAAGGCCATGAAAGACAAGGAAAGACTGAGGAAATATTCCAGAATGAAGGAGACTAAAGAAATATGAGTAAGGCAACATATGGTCAATGACAGGAGGCAAGAACATACAATGGGGTAAAGACAGTCTATTCAATAAATGGTGTTGAGAAAATTGGACAGATACATGCAAAAACATGAAACTAGACCACCTCATACCATATATAAGAATAAATTCAAAATGTATTAAAGATTTAAAGGTAAAACTCAAAACTATAAAACCAGAAGAAAACAGGCAAATCTGGCATCTCATCAATGTGTTTTCTGTTATATCTCCTCCAGCAAGGGAAAAAAGTGAGGACTATATCAAACTAAAAAGGTTTTGCACAGCAAAGTTAATAAAAAAAATGAAAATACAACCTACTGAATGGAAGCTGTTCACCAAGATATACCTGATAAAGGGTTAATATCCACAAATTACATAGAACTTATGCAACTCCACACCAAAAACAATGCAACTTAAAAAAAAAAAAAATGGTCAGAGGACCTGAATAGACACTTCTCTGAAGAGGACATACAGGTGGCCAATAGACATATGAAAAGATGCTCAATATCACTAATCATCAGAGAAATGAAAATTGAAACCCCAATGAGATATCACCTCACACCTGTCAGAATGGCTATCATCAATGAATAAATATCAAGTGTTGGCACGGATGTGGAGAAAAGGGAACCCTCATGCACTGTTGGTGTGAATGCAGATTGATGCAGCCCCTATGGGAAAGTGTATGGAGGTTCCTCGAAAAAAATTAAAAGTGGAACTGCTTTATGACCCAACAATTCCACTTCTGGGTATATATCTAAAGAAATCCAAAACACTAATTAGAATATATGAACCCCTGTGATCATTGCAGCATTATTTACAATAGCCAAAATATGGAAGCAACCGAAGTATCCATTAATAGATGAGTGGATAAAAAAAGTGGTGAAATTGTATACATATATATATACCACTCAGCCATAAAAAAAAGAATGAAACCTCACCATTTGTGACAACATGGATGGACCTAGAGCAATGGTCGGCAAACTGCGGCTCGTGAGCCACATGCGGCTCTTTGGCCCCTTGAGTGTGGCTCTTCCACAAAATACCACATGCGGGCATGCATGTACAGTGCGATTGGAACTTCATGGCCCATGCACAGAAGTCGGTATTTTGTGGAAGAGACACATTCAAGGGGCCAAAGAGCCGCATGTGGCTCGCGAGCCGCACTTTGCCGACCACTGACCTAGAGGATATTATCCTAAGTGAAATAAGTCAAAGACAAATACTATATGATTTCACTTACGTGTGGAATCTAAAGAACAAAACAAATGAACAAACAAAATGGAAGCAGACTCAGATACAGAGAACAGACTGATGGTTGCCAAAGGGGAGAGGGGTTGGAGAGCTGGGTAAAAAAGGTGGAGAGATTAAGAAGTACAAATTGGTAGTTACAAAATAGTGATGGAGACGTAAAGCACAGCTTAGAGAATAAGTCTATATTGTAATAACTATGTATGGTGCCAGATGGGTACTGGAAATAGTGGGGGAACACTTTGTAAGTATTATCTAACCACTATGCCGTAAACCTGAAACTAACACAAAATAATGTTGAATGTAAAATGTAATTGAAAAATAAAATTTAAATAAAAAAAGGAAATACAAGTAAGGCAACAGTGATTCTGAACTGGATTCTTTTTTTTTTCCCAAAGGATGTTATTAGGACATTTGACAAAACATGAATGGACTCTAAGGGTTAGAAGGTAGTAATACTTCGATATTAATGTCCTGATTTTGCTGGTTGTATTGTGGTTAAGAAGGAGAATGTCCTTATTTGTAGGAACTACACTAAGTATTTGGGTGATGGGACATCAGATCTGCAATATAGTTGCAAGTGGCTCAGGAAAAAACGTTTTGCGCGCGCACACGCATTCACTCATACACACACATATATTATTTTTGCTGATCTAACAAAAAGGTATAATTTTTAGTCATTCACACCAAATGGCTATTGTAATTAGTTGCTGTCATTTTTATTTTTTTTTGACAGCCTTAGGGAAAAGAGGTCAGTGCTCCTGACTAAATAGTCAGGTATTGCATGTTTTAAAAATTCTTGCACACACCTGTTGAAAACCCACCAGGGACAAACCTGCAACCCAACCAAGTCAGATTTATTGATTCGTTGCAACCAAAGAAACTAAATACTGAAAGGAGTTTTTAGGGGTAAAATAGGCAGGTTTAGGGAGTTTTAAAAATACAGAGGGTCTGCCCTAGCTGGTTTGGCTCAGTGGATAGAGCGCTGGCTTGTGGACTGAAGGGTCCCAGGTTCGATTCTAGTCAAGGGGACATGCCTGTGTTGCGGGATTCATCCCCAGTGGGGGGTGTCCAGGAGGAAGCCGATGTTTCTATCCCTCTCCCTTCCTCTCTGAAACCAATTTAAAAATATACATTAAAAATACAGAGGGTCCGTGGGAGAGGCAAAGTTTGCTGGGGGCTGGGACTGCCAAAAGACATCCATTCACAAAGAACTAAAGGCTCCACAGCCTAAAGGGAGAGGAAGATACCCATTCACAGACAATAAGGGGGGGAAACAGAAGGGAGAAAGAGGAAAACAGATTTTCACAGGGAGTAGAGAATTCTACCACAGGACGGGGAGAAGAATAAAGGGAGACCCCACGTGGGGTTGGAGCTCTGAAGCTGCTATAGTGACCAACCAGAGGAGAATATCAGGACGCAAAGAACTGCAGCCTTTATAAACCTGGGGGAAGGGGGCTTAGTGGGCTACCCCTTTGGGACCCCCTCCCCACGTGGGAGTCTGTGCTTGTTTCCCAATAAATTTCCACCTTTTCCTTTTGTCTGTGGCTTCATTCTTCGAATCCACCTGGACAAGAACCTGGGACATCACCCTAGCATCCTGCTCAGAGGAAAACCACGCGTTTCGGTTTAATTTCCGCGTCTCACCACCAGAGGAACTGCAGGGTGCCTCACCATACAAAAGGGAGTTGTAGGATTTGTGGGGAAGGTGCACTTCAGGTAAAATTCAAGTGAAACCGTATTGACAGGCTCCAAGCAAAGCAGCTGTGTGTAAAGGCAACATCAGGTTTGTTCTGAAAAGTGGGTGTAGGCTCTTCTTTCATTGGAAACTGCAAAGTTAAGGACATATGGGATTTCTTTTCAGGAACCCCTTATCTGAGCCCCGCTCCTGGGTAGAAATCGAGACTGCTTCCCTGTTCGTGTCTTAGACCCTCCAGGCTCGAGTGGGGTGTTTCGTTCCTACCAATAGCAACCTTTACGTGGACTTACAAGGTTTCCCGGTGGTTAAGAACACAGTTCTCGTCCAAAACTGGGGGCGGTTATAACACTTTTCATTCCGACGGTCCTTAAAAGAAAGGCCGTTTTTCCCGTTACGTTACAATTGCCTTCATCTGACACGGTTATCCATCCTGAATGGCTGGGCACACTTTTCCTTCCTCAGCTGTTACAAGCGTTGCATTCGGCCTCTCAAACCACAGCTAATCCTCCTCTCGGGACCTTGCTTAGGGTCCAGCTTTTTTTTTTTTTAAATATATTTTACTGATTTTTCACAGAGAGGAAGGGAGAGAGATAGAGAGTTAGAAACATCGATCAGCTGCCTCCTGCACACTCCCTACTGGGGATGTGCCCGCAACCCAGGTACATGTCCTTGACCGGAATCGAACCTGGGACCCTTCAGTCCGCAGGCCGACGCTCCATCCACTGAGCCAAACCGGTTAGTTAGGGCATAGGGTCCAGCTCTGCTTGACCTGCTTTCTTCTCCTTCCGAACTCGAGCCTCCCTCGCAGCCGGAGGCCCCACACGTGGGTTAAACGCGCCCCTTTCTCCAAGTCCTGGTTCAAGCTGTCCGCCTTCGCAGGCGCCCTGGGGGCCCTCCGCTCTTCTCGCCTCCTATTGGGTGAATTCCACGCCTCTCATCGCGCCGGGGGCGGGGCGCGGCGCC